GCGTAGAAAAAAGTCACGAGGAAAGTCAAAAAGACCTCATTTTGACGTCTTTATGACGTCACAAAACCGTATTTGCCAAGAACCATAATGACGTCATCATGACTGATACAACTATGACTTTTGAAAGATGTCATTTTGACATCATTTTGACTTATGTGTTCTCCTTGGGTTAAGACCTAATAGAAGGCGCAATAAGAATTTTTTGTTATTATTGATAAATAGTAAAAACCGGTTATATCTCGAAAACTATAAGACATAAACAAAATCTAAGGTCCTGCAATTTTTCAATTTACTTGACTAACAAATATAGCATACAGATTTTTCATCCATCTTTCTTGGTTTTCAAAATAGAAAATAAATGTTTAAAATTAAAAAATTAAAAATAACGATAATTTGCAACGCATTTAAATAACAATTGCTGCATAAACAGAATTCCAAAAAGTTTGACCGTTGCAAAGTTACAATAAACTATTTATATGGTATAAAACTCGGTATAATTAAGTGTACTAAAAAGATCCGAAGGCTCTACGCCTTATATTTCTCGAGATAATCAAAAATTAAGAAACCGCTAATTTTATATTAAAAATACATCAGGTACTAATGCCGAATCCGCCAAAATCAGCATTCGACCTTGAGCATTTAACAGGATTTCCACCTACATCCAGTGATGTGCTGCGTGGGATTTTTCCCATCCCGAGAGCATCCGTGCGCATGCGTGAAGTGACGTCACAGCTAGACGTCGTCTGCTACTACGGACGTACATAACCAGCAATAGGTAGGTGCATAAGGGGTCCCGTATCTTTCCCGCGTTATTTAGCTTTGGTTGTTTAGCTGTTTAGTTTGTTTGTAGTACGTAGTGATAACGCGTAATACTTTGTAGGAAATGAATGATAAACAAGAGAGAAGATGATTTTCTTTAAATTTCTCTTCTCGCTGGGATCTAACGACACCTTAAATTTGTCCGCGGTGTATACGTTACTGAGGAGTTAGAGCGTTTGCTTACTGCGCATGTGCGAATTTAATCCCACGCAGCACATCACTGCCTACATCAGTATATTACCTTGAGTGCATATGCACCCTGAGGAAGTCTTATTGAGTGCTCAAGGCTAGCGGACCCGTAGTATCTAATCAGGCGGCATATAGAATATCATAAAGGAAAATATAAGGTGACCGTAGACATCAACTTCCGGACCTTCAAGATAGCCTTAGGCATCTGGACTGCAATACGCATCATCTTCTGTGCACATGGCCTGCATGCCCCTCCATTCTCAACCACCTCCACCAACCACCAGACAAAGCCCACGAAGAGGAAGACCAGAGTTGAGCGGTAACATCCATAGAGAGCAGACGTATTAACCGCAAAGTTGAGCGGTAACATCCAACGAGACCAGACGTGTCATGCTCAGAGTTGAGCGGACATTCAAAGTGACCAGACGTATTATAAGAAGACATCAGCAGCAGCGAACTTAGCTGAGGACTTAGAACCATCGACATCTCTCGAGCCCCCTTGAAGTCTTAGTGACGAGCATCCCACGTAGCAGTGGCGGACCAGAACTCTGCTGACGAATACCCTGGAAGACGTTGCTTGCTAGAATTCGGCAAGGACCCTTCAGTTAATTATCGAGAGACGCCAGCCTCTTCAAGCTGCATCAACCGCCTTCACTCCGTCGGGCATTAACAGTAAGCCTGTCGTCAATCTGCGAATTAATTTTAAGTAAGTCTAGCGTTCGACCTTTTGTATTAAACATGTATAAGAGAAAAAATTATTAAAAACATTATATTTCATCACAATTGAGGGTTGAGTTATATTAGAATTAATTATAAAATTCCATTAAGATTATAATCCCTCTTATTAATTATCTATATATTTTAAAGAATTATTTCCAGAAGATAAGAATTTCAAGGTTATTTTAAAATATTTCAAGGTTATTAGAAAGAATAATTCAGAATTTCAAGGTTGCTTTGAAGAATTATTCGGAATATCAAGGTTGTTTCAAATACACGAGCTATAAAGATTAATGCACAAAGGATATGAATTAATGTTGATATGACATAAGTTCCGAATTACTAACATAACTTAAGAATAAAATCCCATGGAAAACCTATAAGTCCATAACTCCATATAACCCCTCGTTCCTTCCGCTTGCGACAGTGAGGGAGTTTTTTCAGTGAATTAGTAAAATATTAAGAATTAAATCACACGAGCGCGAATGAAGACTAAAGTGAATTATTATAGTTGAGAAAGTGTCTCAAAAGGGGAAGCGAGAGAGCCAGGAATCTCGAAATGTGACTAAGTTCCAGGGATTTTCTCTCGCGGACCCAGAGTGGCATTCTCTCAGTTTTTTGGATGCGTTAAACCAAGAATTTAAAATCAAATCGTAGCTACAGTTGTGACAAATAGTCGATTTGAGTTTACGGTGGAACCGAAGCGAATTGTTGTAGAAACCCTGAATGCGACTATAGTTCCAGGGGTTAATATTCGTGGAGGTACTTCAAGACTCATTTGCGATTTTCCGGATTAATGGAAAGATTGTTTAAAAAGACAGTCGGTAATATTTCGCGAGACTCAAGGTTATTTTGAAGAAGTTGAATTAAATAAGAGCAAGCTCCTTTCCCTGTTCTGCCTAGCCATTAAAAATAAATAAAAGAGTGGCTATCCCTGACCATCTCCTCGTGTATATTTTATTAAAGGTAAAAA